AAACATTGATGCACCTCATCTGTATCAAATTCCCTTCTTTCAAATTGAAATATGAATTACATCATCCACAGAATTTTGAGTGACGAAATAAACGCCACACAAATTGTTTAAAATATCATCTAGTTCTTTGCAGCTGATTTTTCTCTGTGCTGTGTTTTTAACAATGCCTGCACACTTCATTCTGCGATAATATAATCATCAGGTAACAACATTATGTAACAACATGAGGTAACAACATTATGTATCAACATCAAAAAACATTATGTATCAACATCAAGTAACAACATTATGTATAATCATCAAGTAACAACATTATGTATCAACATCAAGTAACAACATTATGTATCAACAGCAAGCAACATTATGTATCAACATCAAGTAACAACATTATGTATAATAATCAGGTAACAACAGCAGGTAAGAGCATCAGGTAACAACATTATGTATCAACATCAAAAAACATTATGTATCAACATCAAGTAACAACATTATGTATAATCATCAAGTAACAACATTATGTATCAACATCAAGTAACAACATTATGTATCAACATCAAGCAACATTATGTATCAACATCAAGTAACAACATTATGTATCAACAGCAAGCAACATTATGTATCAACATCAAGTAACAACATTATGTATAATAATCAGGTAACAACAGCAGGTAAGAGCATCAGGTAATAACATTATGTATCAACATCAAGTAACAACATTATGTATCAACATCAGGTAACAACATTATGTATCAACATCAAGTAACAACATTATGTATCAACATCAAGTAACAACATTATGTATAATAATCAGGTAACAACAGCAGGTAATAACATTATGTATCAAAATCAGGTAACAACATTATGTATCAACATCAAGTAACAACATTATGTATCAACATCAGGTAACAACATTATGTATCAACATCAAGTAACAACATTATGTATAATAATCAGGTAACAACAGCAAGTAATAACATTATGTATCAACATCAGGTAACAACATTATGTATCAACATCAAGTAACAACATTATGTATCAACATCAGGTAACAACATTATGTATCAACATCAAGTAACAACATTATGTATCAACATCAGGTAACAACATTATGTATCAACATCAAGTAACAACATTATGTATCAACATCAAGTAACAACATTATGTATAATAATCAGGTAACAACAGCAGGTAATAACATTATGTATCAACATCAGGTAACAACTTTATGTATCAACATCAAGTAACAACATTATGTATCAACATCAGGTAACAACATTATGTATAATAATCAGGTAACAACAGCAGGTAAGAGCATCAGGTAATAACATTATGTATCAACATCAAGTAACAACATTATGTATCAACATCAGGTAATAACATTATGTATCAACATCAAGTAACAACATTATGTATCAACATCAGGTAACAACATTATGTATCAACATCAGGTAACAACATTATGTATCAACATCAAGTAACAACATTATGTATCAACATCAAGTAACAACATTATGTATCAACATCAGGTAATAACATTATGTATCAACATCAAGTAACAACATTATGTATCAACATCAGGTAACAACATTATGTATCAACATCAGGTAACAACATTATGTATCAACATCAAGTAACAACATTATGTATCAACATCAAGTAACAACATTATGTATCAACATCAAGTAACAACATTATGTATCAACATCAAGTAACAACATTATGTATCAACATCAGGTAACAACATTATGTATCAACATCAAGTAACAACATTATGTATAATAATCAGGTAACAACAGCAGGTAAGAGCATCAGGTAATAACATTATGTATCAACATCAGGTAACAACATTATGTATAATAATCAGGTAACAACAGCAGGTAATAACATTATGTATCAACATCAGGTAACAACATTATGTATCAACATCAAGTAACAACATTATGTATCAACATCAAGCAACATTATGTATCAACATCAAGTAACAACATTATGTATCAACATCAAGTAACAACATTATGTATAATAATCAGGTAACAACAGCAGGTAAGAGCATCAGGTAATAACATTATGTATCAACATCAAGTAACAACATTATGTATCAACATCAGGTAACAACATTATGTATCAACATCAAGTAACAACATTATGTATCAACATCAAGTAACAACATTATGTATAATAATCAGGTAACAACAGCAGGTAATAACATTATGTATCAACATCAGGTAACAACATTATGTATCAACATCAAGTAACAACATTATGTATCAACATCAGGTAACAACATTATGTATCAACATCAGGTAACAACATTATGTATCAACATCAAGTAACAACATTATGTATAATAATCAGGTAACAACAGCAGGTAATAACATTATGTATCAACATCAGGTAACAACATTATGTATCAACATCAAGTAACAACATTATGTATCAACATCAGGTAACAACATTATGTATCAACATCAAGTAACAACATTATGTATCAACATCAGGTAACAACATTATGTATCAACATCAAGTAACAACATTATGTATCAACATCAAGTAACAACATTATGTATAATAATCAGGTAACAACAGCAGGTAATAACATTATGTATCAACATCAGGTAACAACTTTATGTATCAACATCAAGTAACAACATTATGTATCAACATCAGGTAACAACATTATGTATAATAATCAGGTAACAACAGCAGGTAAGAGCATCAGGTAATAACATTATGTATCAACATCAAGTAACAACATTATGTATCAACATCAGGTAATAACATTATGTATCAACATCAAGTAACAACATTATGTATCAACATCAGGTAACAACATTATGTATCAACATCAGGTAACAACATTATGTATCAACATCAAGTAACAACATTATGTATCAACATCAAGTAACAACATTATGTATCAACATCAGGTAATAACATTATGTATCAACATCAAGTAACAACATTATGTATCAACATCAGGTAACAACATTATGTATCAACATCAGGTAACAACATTATGTATCAACATCAAGTAACAACATTATGTATCAACATCAAGTAACAACATTATGTATCAACATCAAGTAACAACATTATGTATCAACATCAAGTAACAACATTATGTATCAACATCAAGTAACAACATTATGTATCAACATCAGGTAACAACATTATGTATCAACATCAAGTAACAACATTATGTATAATAATCAGGTAACAACAGCAGGTAAGAGCATCAGGTAATAACATTATGTATCAACATCAGGTAACAACATTATGTATAATAATCAGGTAACAACAGCAGGTAATAACATTATGTATCAACATCAGGTAACAACATTATGTATCAACATCAAGTAACAACATTATGTATCAACATCAGGTAACAACATTATGTATCAACATCAGGTAACAACATTATGTATCAACATCAAGTAACAACATTATGTATAATAATCAGGTAACAACAGCAGGTAATAACATTATGTATCAACATCAGGTAACAACATTATGTATCAACATCAAGTAACAACATTATGTATCAACATCAGGTAACAACATTATGTATCAACATCAAGTAACAACATTATGTATCAACATCAGGTAACAACATTATGTATCAACATCAAGTAACAACATTATGTATCAACATCAAGTAACAACATTATGTATAATAATCAGGTAACAACAGCAGGTAATAACATTATGTATCAACATCAGGTAACAACATTATGTATCAACATCAAGTAACAACATTATGTATCAACATCAGGTAACAACATTATGTATAATAATCAGGTAACAACAGCAGGTAAGAGCATCAGGTAATAACATTATGTATCAACATCAAGTAACAACATTATGTATCAACATCAGGTAACAACATTATGTATCAACATCAGGTAACAACATTATGTATCAACATCAGGTAACAACATTATGTATCAACATCAAGTAACAACATTATGTATCAACATCAAGTAACAACATTATGTATCAACATCAGGTAATAACATTATGTATCAACATCAAGTAACAACATTATGTATAATAATCAGGTAACAACAGCAGGTAATAACATTATGTATCAACATCAGGTAACAACATTATGTATCAACATCAAGTAACAACATTATGTATCAACATCAGGTAACAACATTATGTATAATAATCAGGTAACAACAGCAGGTAAGAGCATCAGGTAATAACATTATGTATCAACATCAAGTAACAACATTATGTATCAACATCAAGTAACAACATTATGTATCAACATCAGGTAACAACATTATGTATCAACATCAGGTAACAACATTATGTATCAACATCAAGTAACAACATTATGTATCAACATCAAGTAACAACATTATGTATCAACATCAGGTAATAACATTATGTATCAACATCAAGTAACAACATTATGTATCAACATCAGGTAACAGCATTATGTATCAACATCAGGTAACAACATTATGTATCAACATCAAGTAACAACATTATGTATCAACATCAAGTAACAACATTATGTATCAACATCAGGTAACAACATTATGTATCAACATCAAGTAACAACATTATGTATCAACATCAAGTAACAACATTATGTATAATAATCAGGTCACAACAGCAGGCAAAAACATTATGTATAAACATCAGGTAACAGCAGCAGGTAACAACATTATGTATCAACATCAGGTAATGACGTCAGGTAACAAAATTGTGTATAATCATCAGGTAACAACAGCAGGTAACAACATTTTTTATTAATTAATATTAATATTAATTAATATTTGTAGAATCCCAATGCCAAATGTTATAAATCTGTTCATTGTCAGATAATGAACCACTGTTTAATATGGTTTTCAAAATTTTCAACCAAAATTTGAATCCCTATAATAAAAGTCTACATCCACGTGATGTACCTTCATTAGTTTCACCTGTTGGTCAAACGTAAGCCTGAAGTTTGGTGAGACTAGGACGACCTCTAGTGGTGGGAAGTCAGTTTTATATTTTCACATTTACGGGGCAGACATATTGCTTACCGGAGCTTTTTCTGGAAAGCTAACAGTGGAAAAGGGATTTGAAATTGATGTCCATTGCTACTACTTGAAACACTCAAAGCAAATAAAACGTCATGGGTGAGTTGTTTGAGTAGCTGAGAGTGTTTATGTGTTACAAATTTGTCCTTTTGGTCTAAATTATCGATTGTTAAATAGTCTTGTGTTTAGCAACGTACCTTACATGTTAGCCAGGTAGCTTGTTGCGTCAGTACGCATAGTTGTGTGATTTTCGTTTGTTTACTAAAATATCACGTATGGTTCTGGTTTGGTGACATTTTTCATTTATAAAACTGAGGTTAGTCATGTATAACGATATATTTCTAACCACAAACAACAGCAAATGCTATTTGTAAGCTAACTTCAGAAAAGTTTGCTAACTGCTAACTATGTTAGCAAAGCGCTTTTACATTTTTCTTTGATCCGCCGCTTCGGAGAAAAGTTTCTATCAGTCCTGTCAAATTATTGTTTTCTATCGCCAGCAGTAATATTTAAACTATCAGTTGTTGCTGTTTTTGTTTCTGTGAACAAAAATCCGCTGGGAATGAAAATGTCAAGTTGTTGAGGGGGTCTTACTAAGCTAATTGCGATTCTTGTTTGTACTTTAGATGTTTCATAACTGTTTATAAGTACAATTAGGTTGCTGTGTGGTTTTGACTTGGCAAAACTCTTCCAGTGATTCATTGAAATGATTGGATCAAAATCAACATGGACAGAAACCGGTTTAGAGATTCGAGCTAGCGTGGATGTTAGCTTAGCTCCCTTAGCTCTGCTAATCAGCTTGGGTGCACAGACCCATAGTTACACAACTTGAGGTTATTTTACATTTCTAGTTATTTTTCTGGGTTCCGGAGCAGACAAGAACGCATTGATTGATGTTTTAATAGTTTACGTGTAATGGTAATGGAATAAGTCGCCGTGTTGCGCTGATAAGCGTGTGTTGGGGTGTTTTGTGTTTTCCAGACCATTCCCTCACATTATGGAGTCGTTTCATATTCTGTCATTTATACTTCCACTCCAGGGATACTGGTAAACTGCTGGAGATGGTGTGGGGCCCGTACTATGTTATTCACAGATAGATTATTTATTTGTGCTGTTATTCTTCGTGAAAGATCTCTCCCTCCAGCTAATATTTAGCTGTAATAGAACATCTCAATCAAACATAAAGCAACACTTTCATAGCTAGTGGCAAGAAAACCGCTCATCTAGTTAGTAAACAATTATAATGGCTACCATTATTTTGGTTTGTGTGCCCCACAGAATATTTTCCTTCAGATAGATCTCTGAAATGCCAGCGTTGGCCCGGACTCTCAACTGTGCTATTTTTATTCCACCTAGCCCAAACACCCAACCTGCAACAAAGTAGAAAGATGAAACATCATTTTAAAGATAGTTGAGAAATAAATGCCACCAGCTGCAACCAGAACCTTGTAGTTATGTGTTTGTTCTGCGGCTGTACCACCGGTTGAACATGTTTCACACATTTTCCACAACTCAGTTTCTAGTGCTTGCTTTGACATTTATCTGTTGTCCTCTATGATTCATTGGAGAGATTCTGGCACAGTGGGTTTGTATTGTTCTATGGTGTGTTGGCAGGGCTTTTGTTGTTCCCTCATCCTTTTTTTGCACCCCTGGGTGACTCAACTATTCCTGGTGCCCTGTGTAGATGGGCAGCCTGTCCGGGGCATCAATTTATGCTAACTCTGCAGTTAGTCTGTTTATTCATGCTGCTTCTTAACTTTTAGGTGGGATTTGTTCTGTATATAGTCTATGCGAATTCATGACGGACTAAAATTAGAGTTGGGGAAATGAATGTACGCTTAATCTGTCATGTTTACTCATACCTTCCTAACACGTGGTGTACTCGTTCATCTTCCTTCAGAGGAGACTGCTGTGTGAGTTTGTTTGCTTCCTATGTTTTGACCGGGTCGTGTGTTTGTACAACCAGAGCCATCAACCAGTCCGGCCAAGGACAACTACAGGATGAATCGCTACAAGAACAAAGCACTGAATCCAGAGGAGATGAGGCGCAGGAGAGAAGAGGAGGGCATCCAGCTCAGGAAACAAAAGCGAGAACAGCAGGTACCTCACCGAAGCTCTTCGTCCTACTCATCAGAGTCTTCCTCTCCTGTCTTCAGTCATCATTATTTTAGGAGTTAAAAGTATCCAAGCTTGACTGTGATGCTGTTGTCTTTCACAGCTCTTCAAGAGAAGAAACGTGGATGTTCTCAATGAAGAAGAGGTCATGTTTGAGAGTCCACTGGTAGACTCGTACTTAACTTCTCCAGAGACGGTAAGTTACTGTTTAAGCTGCATAGAAACTCCAGTTTTCATCGTGGTGACTGGAGTTGAGCAGCTATACTGGTATGCGTGATACTGGAATGTTTTCAGTCTCATCCCAAAACATGGAGAAAAAACAACTGTTGTTGATTATTGGAGTGGCATTCATTAGTCACTGAGTTCTTCTTTCCAGGCTTTAATACATCTTATTGAGGTGTTTGAAGAACCTCCTTGGTTGTTTTAGTTTCCCATCTCATGATTTTCAGAATAAAGGTCTGTGAGGCTCGCCTGCTGAAAATATTTGTGCCCATCTTCTTGCAGGAAGGAGTTATCACCAGAGACATGGTTGAGATGCTTTTCTCAGAAGACCCAGAGCTTCAGCTCGCAACAACACAAAAATTCAGAAAACTGCTTTCCAAAGGTACAAACTATTATTATTAATATTATTGTTATTGTTGTTGTTGTTGTTGTGCTACAATGGTTTCACTGCTAGACATCTGGTTGTTCCAGCCTCTGGGTGACCTGTGAGTGGACACTTGGCTGTGTTTCTGCCTCCTCTGAGTTAATGATGGATAAATAGTTGCTCATATGAGGGACCTTCATTGAAAGTTTACAGTTAAAGGAACTGACTGATATTGAGATGTCGATTATTTAATACAATCTTTAGTTAATGTTGATAAAACAAATACTCTGGTTACTGATAACAAAACAGATGTACAGAGAAAACATCTGTAATATAAAATTACTCAACGTGTTGCTTAATAACCGTAGGGCAGTGTGTACAGTAGCAACGTGTCGCTCAGATAGATGAACTATTATTATCTATCACCATGAGAAACTGGAGGTGTGGCGTGAGAGCGAGTGAAGACGGTCAACGCTAGGGCTGTAGCGAAGCCTCGACGAAGTCGACGGCTCGATTCCAAAAATTTGTCGACGTCAGATCCGGAAGTCGACGCACCGCGCCCACTTGTTGCATCCCCAGGAGTTTGTAAATAGAGGAGGAATCTGCCTGTTTTTCCTCTAGTTCGCCCTCTTCTCCGCCTTCACTAACATCTCCGCCAAATACCGAAGACCCGGAACAACGTCCGTCCACTACTAGATTCCTTTCCTGTTTTGCCCGCCTTCGTCTCCCGGCAACGGACAACAACTTCCGGGGTCAGATGCGCTGCTTCGCCTCTACCGCAGATGTAGGACATCACCGGGAGCGCTTCTCCCTTCATAAAGGAGCTTCTTTCAGACATGAGGAGAGCTGTTTTGGTGGTAGCAGTCTCTCCTCCATGCTGGTCTGTTTGCTGCCGGGTGTTTTTGGTTTATTTAAACTTGGTAACTTGAACTCAACGTTGGTAAAGCTACTGTTAGCATCTTCGCTAACAGCTTCTTGCGTTGGGATAAGCTGTTACGTTTTGGTTTAGAGTTCATCTTTTTTGTGGTGCAGATCTCCCTTTTATTACATTTAGAGTGTTGTGGGTTTTCGGTTTAGTGTAAAATATCACCTGAGTTTGGTTTAACCCGTAAGACCACTCGCCTCACGCACATAAGTGACCAAAACAAAGCAGCATGGAGACACTCCATCTTCTACCACCTCTCAGGCAGCAGCCTGCTCTCCCAAGTTCTACACGTCACCAGAACATAACCAACCAACACAATAAAAGCAGTGTTATACAAAATGGGAGGCCTGTAGTGTTTATTCTCTTACAGTAAGAATTTATCAATTTTTTTGAGGAATTTATTAGAGATTTTCTGGTTTTTGTTAATTGTGCAATAGAAAAATAATCATTAGATTAATTTTCTAAATATTCATTAGAATAGTCGACTATTCGATAAAATAATCGTCAGAATAATCGTTTTAAAAATAATCGTTTACCCCCAGCCCTAGTCGACGCTCATCGTGAGAGTTTGCAGCCCTGATGAAATAAGTGTCCAGATATGGCTCACTGTGTCTCGAGTTTATTTAGCTTGTAAAGCGTCTGGTTCTGTGAGCGAATGAGATCCGCTGAGAAAAGTTCATGATTGGTCAGTCGATGCAACTTGATCATGTTCCTAATGTCAGGAAGGATGGTCCGGAGCGCAGGCTGGGTGTTTAGCTAACCTGCAGGGAAGATCGACAACACAGGAAGTAGCTAAGAGTTACCAGAAATGTCGCTGGGTACTTGCCTAGGTGCTTTTGAGGAAAAGAGTCTTGAAGGCGGTCTGAAAAGTTGTTAGAAAAAGTGACCAAGTGTGTGGGAGGTGTGCTTGATTTGTAACTCGGGGTAACCTTGGATTGTAATTGAATGAATCTCTAGCTGCCTGGATGAATATGGAAATGATCATTTTGGTTTCAGACCAAAGAAAAGTCCTTCTTGCGCATTAGCTTAGCTAAAAACATGTATTTTGTTTATTAACAGAGCCCAACCCTCCTATTGATGAGGTTATAAACACACCGGGAGTGGTGGAGAGGTTCGTGGAGTTTCTGAAGAAGAGTGTGAACTGCACACTACAGGTCGGTTACATGTTAGCTGTTGTGTGAGAGCTCTGATTATCGGATAAGGACTGAAGTAAAGTGTGTGTGCGTGTGTGTGTGTGTGTGTTGTAGTTTGAAGCAGCCTGGGCTCTGACCAACATAGCTTCAGGAACCTCGTTGCAGACGAAGACGGTCATCGAGGCTGGAGCTGTTCCCATCTTCATAGAACTACTGAACTCAGACTTTGAGGATGTCCAGGAACAAGTAACACACTTTATCCGAGTGTTTGATTATATTGTGTGTTTGTCTGAATAGTGACACGCCTGTGTGTGTGCCTAGGCTGTGTGGGCCCTGGGCAACATAGCGGGAGACAGTGCCGTGTGCAGAGACTACGTCCTGAACTGTAACATTCTTCCACCTTTATTAACGTACGTGTCTTTTTCTCCTCCGTGGTGTTTTTTGGACGAGCTGAACGTGTTGTCTGGAACACTTTCCTGCTTTAAAGTTCTTCCTTTCGTTTCAGGCTTCTGACTAAATCCAACAGAATGACCATGACTAGAAATGCAGTGTGGGCTCTGTCTAATCTCTGTAGAGGCAAAAACCCTCCACCTGCTTTTGACAAGGTAACATAATAAGAACAATAACCAGCTTAAGTAAGCAGGGTAACTGCTAATAACTGTGTGTTTTTATTCCTGCTGTCTAGGTGTCTCCGTGTCTGCCCGTCCTGTCCCGGCTCTTATTCAGCAGTGACCCAGACTTGCTGGCAGACGCCTGCTGGGCTCTATCCTACCTCTCAGACGGACCCAACGACAAGATCCAGGCTGTCATCGACTCTGGTGTGTGCAGGCGTCTCGTGGAGCTTCTCATGTGAGTTTGGGCTCATCTAGGTTGTCTCTGTTGAGGGAAAGCTGACCTGTAAATAAAAAAAAGATAAATTTCTTCCTTTTCAACTCTCTGCAGGCACACGGACTATAAGGTCGCGTCTCCCGCTCTTAGAGCGGTGGGGAACATCGTCACCGGAGACGACATCCAAACACAGGTGAGAAAACATTTTAAGTTGGCTTATTTGACAGGCTAAGAGGGTGTAAATCCCACTTAGTGGTGATGGAATGAAGATCAGCTGTTTGGTGCACGTGCTAGGATAACCGGTGCTTGGCTCTGTTCAGGTGGTGCTGAACTGCTCGGCTCTTCCCTGCCTGCTGCACCTTCTCAGCAGTGCTAAAGAGTCGATTCGCAAAGAAGCTTGCTGGACCATCTCTAACATAACAGCAGGAAACCGAGCCCAGATACAGGTACAACACCCGACATGGGTCAGCGTCGAACTACATCCGTGTTGTTCTGGGAGGATTTTCAGGCTGGGTTTAGCCCCAATTCTGGAATGCCCACTTTGGGTGACCAGGTGGCCGCAGCGTGGACCATTAAACTGGTGTTGATGTTCTCCCAGTACAGGATGAGGGTTAAATGACCCAGATGGAGTAAATGCAACTAGCAGCACACTCCTAGTACCCAGAGCAAAGCTGGCCTGTGTTTAGGAGTTTTCCAAAGCTTCTGTTAGTGAAAAATGTTAAAACACCTCCTTGTTGGAGAGTCGGTGAAAACGTTTTAGTTTTCCTCACAGAAACAAAGCCATCCATGTGGCTATAGACTGGGCCTAAATCTGATTTCTGCACCTCCACAGACGGTGATCGATGCCAACATCTTTCCGGTGCTGATTGAAATTCTGCAGAAAGCTGAGTTTAGGACCAGGAAAGAAGCCGCCTGGGCCATCACCAACGCCACGTCTGGTGGAACGCCAGAGCAGATCAGGTTGTTGTCTCGGAACCTCTTCCATCGCCATAGGCTGAAGGTGTTGCTACATGATCTGGCTTCTGCTCACACTCAGGTACCTGGTGAACCTGGGCTGCATTAAGCCCCTGTGTGACTTGCTGACCGTCATGGACTCAAAGATCGTCCAGGTGGCTCTGAACGGGCTAGAAAACATCCTGAGGCTGGGTGAGCAGGAGGCCAAGCAGGAGAACAATGGCACCGGCGTCAACCCCTACTGCAGCCTCATCGAAGAAGCCTACGGTACGGTCCATGCCAGCCTGGACGCACATTTAAACTGCCTCGCATGTGCGTCCTGTTTACATCTAGTCTGATAAAATAACTTAAAAGTACCTTTTTCTTACTTATCAGTCACCCAAAACACTGCAGTGCTTTCATCACGTTTGGAGGTGAGAGAGGAGGATGCTAGAACCCAAAAGCTCTACACTTCAGCGTCTGTAACCCTAACAAAGTCTCCTCCTTAGTGATGAAACCAAGTCCGTTTTACTTTTGTCTAAATAGTCTTATTAATTAGAAACCTTTAATTGATGAGCAGGTGACGGGTCACCCCTCTGCTGAGGCAGAAACTTTAACTGTTGGCCGACGGATCAGAAGTTCTGCCTCCTCCTCCTCTCTCATGTAGCTAGTACCAATAAAGCCCAATATGTTGTTGATGGATGCGTCAAACCACCAGTAAAACACAGAAAACTCACACGAGGACCCCTCCTAGTTTCTCCCAACTGAGTTAGGAGCGATTGTAATTGGTGGATCTGTCTCTGGGTCAGGCTACGTCCAAACATCTACCATAGTCTTGTTGGATAACGTCTCACCCAGCCTTGGTGATTTTCAGGAACGTGCCTGCACAGCTTGCTGGTTGAGACTGGTTTAAGACTGGTCTTGGCCTGGGATGATAACTTTGGCTGAGCGATATATTGTCGACGATAAAAGATATTATTGTCGCTATTATCGAGACCAAAATAGCGACTTGTGTAATGTAAATGTGTCATAATAATGCAAGTACACCCTTTGAAATGCAACAACAGGGTTTCCCCCAGCGTTTTATAAGCGTCATGCCCCGCCTCCCTCCCCACACTACCGTGTCCGCTGACAGGAATGATGCATCGAAACTAAAGCCCTCCATCAGCTGATGTGGAGAGAAACAGCAGCAGAACGTGTGCAAACCCTCCACCCCCGCTCTAACAGAGGAGCGCTGCGGGAGGGAGCGCGCCTCCTCGACGGCCGAAGCCGCCAGGCTTGACTCATTTTCTGGGGGAAACCCTGAACAATTAAACCTTTATTTAACTTTGGAATGTCCAGAACCAGAACTTCTAAATAAATAAATAAAACAAACAAAATATAAATGGACTTTCACTCTCAGTTGGACAATATTGCACCAGAAACAACAGGGGTTGTACATCTCTTAACCTCGAGTAGGAATGGGCAATATGGACCAAAACTTATTCCAGTATACGATACATATCTCAGTATTTTACCTCCTGTAAAATATTTATAGTAGGGCTGCAGTTATCAAATATTTTTGTAATCGAGTGCTCTATCAAGTCTTTTATCGATTAATCGAGTACTCTAATAAATTACTCTTGTGTTTGTAAACCATGATATCAAATAGCATGTTATAAAATATGAAAGACCTCTTGAAATGAGCAAGCAGTTGCCAGTTATTCAAGTTTTATTCAAAATTAGTTTTCAAAACTTCAGCACTTCAACTTTACTTTTCAGTAAACAAACGCGAGTGACTGCGGCCCAAACAGAACCAGAACCGCTCACGGCGCATGCGCAAACCTGGCTCGCCAGCTGTTTCCCTATGAACACACGTCCGTTTTCATTTCTACACTTTTTTCCCCACACACAACAACAAGGGTTGTCGAGAAAGCATGTTTGCCGTGGTTATGTCAAATTATACTGATCACTAAACATTTATTTACTTTCCTTTGTTTTCCTCCTAAACACCCGTGTCCTCCTGCAGCGATCCCGAGGGACAACAGACGTCAATAACAACACAATAAAAAGTCTGATGTGTAAAAACTGCTATTTTTAGCACATTTTTAGGTCTGGCGTGTTGCTACTAGACACACAGTGTGAGCTGAAACTGAGAGCTACAAACGAAAAAGTCGCACAGGGTCCGCAGAATATACAGCGGACCTCCGAGTCCGCTTGCAGAAGTGACATTTACCCCGGCTTTCCACCGGAGCCGTCAGCAGCGCGTCATAGCTGCTGATAGGGACCGCTGTGGTCAACAGAACCTTTTCCACCGGAGCCGTCAGCAGCGCGAGTCGGCGCGTCTCAGGAGCAGCATGTCGCGGCCTTTACGCGCCGGTTCTGTTTTCTACGCGTGACGCCTCTGAAACGGGTCAAGTTCGACATCTTTGGGGAAGGAAAGACAGGAAATCGGACGCGGAAATGGAGAGAAGCTGCCGAGATTTTCAGAATAAAGAAACGTACTGCCTTCCGGTTGCTTTACTTTAAAAAAGGTTACTAACTGTGCGGCCCCGTGAGAAGTTATCACCTAGCTAGCGGTCTCCTTTGTTTTTCAGGTCCGTATTGGCGATTATAAAACGGACAGAACATAAAACACAAACCATGTTGTAGTTTTCTCCTGCTTGTTGTTGTGTTTACTGACGAAGTCACTCGTGTGACTTCGTGCTCGGTCGGTGACAGCTGCTCCCCTGCTGCTTCACGTCTCGTGGGAAGGGCCAAGCAGCAGCTTACGCGAGCAAGACGTGCTGCTGCAGTAACGTGCTGCTGACGGCTCCCGTGGAAAGCCGGGGTTACATGTGGGTGTTTCCTGGTCAGGTGCTGCAGCATGGAGGATGTGGTGTTGTGGTAGGCTACATCCATTTTACAGTATTTGCACTGGACTACGTTTTCCGCCTGACGACGTGAAAAATGGTCCCACACCTTTGACTTTTTGTCTTTTTCGCACTCCACCGGGTTCCACGTTGTCCGTCATGGCTCAAGAGAAAGTTAAGTGACATTCGCTACTTGCGTGTGCATTCAGTGCAGTGTGTATGTGCGTCACTTATTTCGGTCCGGGTGAAACATGACCCCGGGCGATTGCAAAGCCATGAATTAATTAATTAATTAATTAAACATGAATTAAGCGAAGCCTCAAGGAAGAGAATTTGACTCGAGGCTTTTTTGTACTCGAATTATTCGAGGTACTCGAGGAATCGTTTCAGACCTAATTTACGAGTTCACACACTTCAAGCTGTCTTGAGAAATTATAAAGATAGATAGATAGATAATCTTTATTGACAGACTCTTAGGTCCAGATAAAATACATATAAAACAACAGATCAATGAAACAAAATAGATAAATAGAATAAAAATATAACAGCATAAAATTGAATAAAAATCTAAATGTAATTAAAAGCTTTACTATAAACTGTTCCACACAAGGTTAACCACACAAACACTTCAACCAGTATTTCCTTATACTGGAGAAATAGCGACAACTGCTCACAGTAGGATCAGTGATTGCTAAAATTATACTGTTGGCAGAGCTATCCAGTCGGCCTATAAAAGTGAATATGAGTTTTCTTAAAAGAGCTTTAAAAGTACAAACGCCTGCTGTTACAAACATCTGACTGGCGCTGCCCCCTCTGGGTATTTTAAGTATGATCCTTAAGGCATCGTTGTATGCAACTTGCAGCTTGTTCATGCTGCTTTGATTGTAGGATGACCACAGTTGGGCTGTGTAGAGCGGAGTACAATATGCTTTAAATAAAGCCACCTTAACTGGAGGTGAACAAAAACCAAACTTACGAGCTATAGTGTTAGCTTGTGCATACAGCTTACAGCACCGTCTGTGGATGTCAGCATCATCACGCATTTGATCGGTTATAAAATGGCCAAGGTATTTCACCTTCTCACACACATTAAGATCACTATTAGACAGTTTGAACACAGGAAAGTTTAGCTTTTTATCCTGCTTGGTTCTACATATCAAGATAGCACTTTTAACAGCATTATACTGAATATCGTACTGCACACCATATTCAGAGCAGATATTCAGGAGCTGCTGTAAACCAGCACTACTTGGACTAAAGACCACCAGATCATCAGCATACATCAGATGGTTGATCAGAGTTGTACCCATCAAACATCCTGTGTTACAGGCTCTGAGCTGCACAGACAGATCGTCAACGTACAGATTAAATAAGATAGGAGACAGAATTCCACCCTGCCTAACACCATTACTAACGCCAAATGGTGCAGAGATGCTGGCACCCCATTTAACCTGTATCTTCTGATGAGCATACCAGTAAGACAGGATTCTCACAATAAACCCAGGGACCCCCCGTAGCTTTAACTTAATAAAAAGTTTTCTGTGGTTTACACGATCAAAAGCCTTAGAAGCATCAATAAAACACATAAAGACAGAAGAATTTCTATTTCTGTACCAATTGACCATTTCTTTAATTGCGTATATACACATGTCAGTACCATGTTTTGGCTTAAAGCCAAACTGATTATCCAAGGAACTGAGGTACACAGTGACTCTATCAAATATGATTCTTTCTAAAACTTTAGATAAAACACTGGCTAGTGCAATCGGCCTATAATTATCCATACTGGTCACCTTCCCAGATTTGTTCTTAATGACTGGAACAAGCAGAATTGCCATCATTGAGTCTGGTAGTATGCCATGAATCATGAACCCTGTAAAACATAGAGCTAAAAGGGGAGCTAGTCTTTGGCTAGCATATTTCAAATGTTCTGCACTAATGTGATCCAGACCAGAAGCCTTATTATCAGCTAGTTTGTGAATAGCATCATGCACCTCATGGGTCGTTACACATATAGATTCATCATTAATTACAGAGCCATCCTCATGCTGGTCACCTTTCAAACAATTAAACAATGCATAATAATGATGTCTCCATAATGCTGCAATATTATCTTCCCCAGAAACACCTTCAACAGCACCTGGTAGAGATGATTTGCAATTATTAACTGTTTTCACATCTTTCCAAAAACCTTTGACATCATGACTCATAAATTTCCTGGCCATTGAATCTGCCCTCATGATCTGCTCATTTTTTGATATAAAACGAACAGCATACTTATATCTGGCATTTGCACGTTTTTTCTGTTCAAATTCCACACCCTGCCTAGGTCTCCCAACCATATCCCAACATTTAAAAGCTACCCGCGCTTCATCCTGATACATGGCAACATGTTCTTTCCAGCCAGGCCTGATATGAGGTTTCTGCTTATTCTTACCTTTGACATGAAAAGGTCTACCACTTTCATACAAAGCGTCCACTATATCCTCATACATAGAGCATATAAACATAAATCAGTAGATTAAATGCATAAAAATGTATTGATTCTTGTCAAACTTTAACTTTAGTGCCTATTCTCTGGTACAGCTTTCTGTTACACACACACACACACACACACACACACACACACACACACACACACACACACACACACACACACACAGTTGAGAGCTAGAGGTGTATCAAATGTCCCACAGGCACTTTTTAACTATATATTTAATGTAAAATTATTAAAATTTCGTAGAGGTGGGCCGTATCATATACTGTCCAGAAAAAACAATCTACCACGTTGAGCTACATTTGTGATGATGGATGGTCGGCTAGCAGTGCCTACACCACGCTCAGGACAATCCAGACTCTTCTCATGCATCGTTCCACAAATGTGGAATGACCTTCCAAGCACTACCAGAACAGGAGCTTCCTTTTCAATTTTCAAGAAACTCCTGAAGACCCTGCTCTTCAGAGAGCATCTTCTAAACTAGCACCCTCCCTGCACCCGTCCCCCCGCTCCATGACTGATGTCAAGTTGTTGTTATTATTGTTGTTGTTAGCCTCAAGGGCAACATGCCGATTATCACTTGTAAGTCGCTGTGGACAAAAGCGTCTGCTAAATACATAAACATGTAATTGCATCTACTGCAGGTCACATGGGTCATGCACCATGGAGTTATTAGTAATCAGGGCAAACATGGCTGGAATGTAACAGTATTGGCTCACATCAGTGATGATACTGTAATGACTCAGTCTCTGGTTGCGCTTTTTATGAGTATTATGTTCGGGCTACTGTCGCCGTAACCCACGCCTTACAAACTCTTGACTTTTTCAACAGAATCATTCGTAACGGAGTATTAGCTAGCATAGCGAACCACAGCGGAAAAAGAGAACCGGAACATTTCTCACCCGTTGAGCTCGCATTCAAAACAAAACGTTAACCCTACAGTTTACTGTTCAAACCCTTACAATATGTTTGAGGTAATTTGGCCACTCCGACCATCCGTAGATGTTTCCTGATTACACAGGGGAGGGAGGGGTTTGGCTCGTCTCTCCGCACAAGGATGGAAAAACAGAACTCCACTGGCGTTGAACGTCCCCAAATAATTAAAAACCAGGAGGCCAAATGCAAAGTTTAGAGCAACACATTTACCCAGAGGCTCTCAGATTGAGCAAACTTGTGAGAATACACGTAATAACCATTTAGAGACGGAGCAACATGTCGCTAGCATAGCGGCTAATCACTAGCATAGTGGTTTGACCAGTAATATCGATATAAAGATATAAAGTCATCTTGTATCTCTTGTTTAAAAATTATATCTATTTTAAAAATATCGATGCCCTAACCTCGATGTATTGAGGCTGGAAAAATAATTGAGTTCATTTTCACCCATTAGTTGATTTATTGATTATCACCCCAGTCCTTGACGATTTTATCTCTTGGTGTGATGAATCATATCTACAACTTAATGTAACTAAAACAAAAGATATGATCATTGATTTTAGAAGGAAGCCTCAACAACAGCATGATCTTTCCATAATTAAAGGTCAAACTATTGAGCAGGTGAAATCATATAAATATCTGGGGACAATTATTGATAGGGAACTGAATTTTGAGGAAAACTGTGATGCTGTGGGTAAGAAAGGCCAGCAGCGTTTGTACTGCCTTAGAAAACTGGCCTCATTCCATGTGGACAGGACTATAATGTCCATGTTTTATTGTTCTTTTATTGAAAGTGTTTTATCCTTTTCCTTAGCCTCGTGGTTTGGCCACTTAAACAAAAGGAGACACTGAACAGGATAGAAAAGTGGTCGGGTCGCCTGCTTGGATAACAAGTGAAAAGTGTGGCACAACTGTACAGTGGGCAGGTAGACAGAATTGCCAACGCTATTGTTAGAGACATGGGCCGCCCACTGCATGCCCAGTTTGCCCTCCTGCCATCAGGACGGAGATGTATTGTGCCTAAGTGCAGGACCGAGAGGTATAAAAGGAGCTTTATTCCTGAGGCAGTAACGATTCTCAATAAGAAATGAGTCTGGCGTGGCTACTTTACTTGATTTTATCTCTATTTATTCATGTATTGTTTTTATACTTTTTATATTTTTATGGATGTGTGTATATTTTGTGAGTGTGTGTGTGTAACTGGGCGCTAATTCTCATGTCACATGGCAAATCAAATTTACCTTCGGGTACTAATAAAGTTGCCTTGACCCTAGCAGCGTGCTAACTTTTATAACTCTGACATTTAAGTTCGTCTCTGATTTAAAACAAAATGTAATAATAATGTTTTGTTTTCTAGGATTAGACAAGATCGAGTTCCTCCAGAGCCACGACAACCAGGAAATCTACCAGAAGGCCTTTGACCTGATCGAGCGCTACTTTGGGGTGGAGGACGAGGACAGCAGCCTCGCCCCTCAGGTGGACCAGGCCAACCAGCAGTTCCTCTTCCCCCAGCAGGAGGCGCCCATGGAGGGGTTCCAGCTATAAGTCCTCTTATGCTCCACCCCCTCTGTCCTCTCGGCTCTTTATGCCTGAGTCACGCCACTGTGCCCTCATCCCTCATTTCTCTCACACACACGCGCACGCACACACACACAGATTTCTGCTGCCATGTGTGGGTTCTTAAATTCTGTCACTGGCTGCAACTGTGGATTTTTTTTTTTTAAGTGATAATTTTTTAGTTACATTTTCCGGTTCAGCGGGACATTTCCTGAATCATCTGCAGAGGAGGGTGTGTGAGGGTACCTCCATCGTGTTTATTTACCCCACCATTTATTTATCTGCTTCACTTATTAGTCCTTGATTGTCTCTCTCGTTAAGAAGTGTTTTTTTTTTACTAAGAAGCTCCCTGATTGGCCTAAATCTGGTCCTCCCCTAGCTTTTAAGTTGGGAGTAGTCTGAGTATTTGTGACAACATCTGATGTCCATGTGTGCCGTGGTGATAATAGGATGATGGATTATGGAGTGATCTGGTAGGCGTGGGTGAGCGGAGCAGCTGCAAACCACGATGTTTTAGTTTCAGCTGCATTTATCAGATCAGACTTTAAAGGTGTGGAATTTATTCATAAGAAGCGTCTTTAATAATGTGGCTAGTGTGAACCCCACAGTGGTGATGGATTCCTGCTGTGGATGGAGGGGTTGTGCATGGTCTGCAGTCGTTGGGTATCACCGACCAGGCAGACGGCCTCTGGGGTTCCTAGCAGCAGCTGCAGTGACTTTTACTGGTGTGAGTAGTGATAGTGTAGTGACCACGGTGGTGTTTTATGTAGTGGTAGAATAGCCTATGGCGTCTAATACCACCATATCTATGAGGAATGGAGCGAACAGCTGCACCGGGACAGTTGTGGCGTTGGTGTAAATGGACGCCTGTGGGTCTGAGGGCTTAGAAAGGTCGGAGGTGTCCAGCAGCAGCAGAGTATATCTGAACTTTGGTGTATTTGCATTAATATATTTTTGTCTTTATGCACACATGCATACAACACCAGCAGACACACACACACACACCTGCCACAGATGAGTGACTAGAAGGAAAAATTAGATATTTATTTTGTTATGGAGGCTGGAAAAATTCTGTTTTGATTTAAAAAGTTTTCTTTAGCCGGCCTTGGTTCTGGTGTGAGGAAGAAGATTTTCAGTTTGTTTTTACTAAATCTGAGTCATTAATGCTTGGCATGAAAGAACTCGTGGTTGTTTGTAGCTACAGGACTAGTGACGGTTGAGATGAACCCAGTGAGCTCTGAGCCGGGCTCGGTGGGTCAGCGTTGGTTGTGTGGTTTTTGACTGACGGGCGCTTTGTGAGGGAGAGGCCCCTGCTCTGTGGATTACTGCAGAATTAGATTCATTTCACCCAATTTAAACGATAACAAAAGCTATGGGCGTGATTAAATAATACAACACTTGCCGAGGCCCGTGAGAGTCTGGTGGGTATCAGCGGAACACGTCTCCTCCTGGGTGATGTCACAGGTCACGTCGTCTTTGACTTCCTGGCTAGATCTCTGCTTCAGCTCCAAAACAGGTTGCAATATTTTAAAAAAATGCATCAACAAGAAATAATATTTATATTAAAAGATGAAAAATGCACTCCTGCTCACTAAAGTGCCAATCCGACCAACAGACTGAAAGAGCCTGCGTTTCCGTCTTTAACCTGTAGAATAATTCTTTATATCTTTATGTACTTGAATGTGCACGTTTGTGCAAAACATTGCTGCTCTATTTTCCTGATCTTTAAAGTTACATTATTTGCCATTGATTTTCTTAAGAGGCAAACTTTACTTTGAGCTCCTAGAGGATGGTGTCTGGGAGGGGTGGGGATGGTCGGGCAGGTGATAAAAATAAACATGCCTTTATTTCCAGGTGATCCCTGCCTTTGAGGTGATTGTGTCTGTGCTAATCCGTAGAACCGTGTAGCTTGATCATGCTCTAGATAATCTTGTTCCATTTCACTTCTGTCATGGATGAGATCTGTAATCAGTCTCATTGTTGCAGATGAGAACGTAAACACGGCACAAACCCCTTTAGTTTACTAAAGGCTGGTTAAACGATCACCGTTTCACAGATTGTTGCTAATCAAGATTTCGCTTCAGATTGGTACTTTTCAGCATTTAAATGAGTTCAATTTGTGTTTTTATTTTTATTTTACTTTTTAGTTTACTAATCTGCAGCATAAGCCAGATAACTGCAACACTGTTTAAAAAGAAATAAAAAACGGCCACTTGTCAGAGCTAACCACCCACCCTCAGGTGACACATCGCACTGACAAGAAGCAGCTGTGGGACCCTTTCATTTGCGTTTGGCATCATAAGTAGTGCGGTGATGTACATCGAGAGTATTATGATCTAAACTGTGTTCTGATACATTGGCAGGGATTCAGATGTAATTCTAATCACTTCTGAGAAGTGGAGACAAAGCCTCAGTGGAACTTGTCACAGGTTATATTTAAAAACAAACATGGTAAGGATGCAAGCCTTTTCTGCTTCTCTTGATCTTTTGTTCCTGATCAGGATATCCTGGGCTATGTTATTTTGGGATGTTTGTTGAGATTGAAAGTTTGTCCTAGTCAGGCTTAATGACCTTTGTTGTCATTAGGACATCTGGAATGATCTCAAATCTGACCCGTCTTCCGTCCTGGACGCTGTTGGTGTCTTTATCGTGGTTCTAACGCTGCACTGGGCTCGGTCTGACGTCGTCTATGCTACATGTTTACAGTGCTCCTGTTTCTATCCCGTCTCTAACCAGTCCTTGTTTATTTTCTTATCTGGTCCTTTCATTTCTTCTACTTCGTATTTATTTTCTCTTAACTTGTTAATGCCCCCCCCCCCCCCCCCCAAATCATCATACCCTTCATACGATCCACTTTTCTACTGTGACTTGACTTGACTTTACCGACGGTATGAATGAGTGATGAGAAACTAACACTTCAGCTTAACATGACACACAAACATAAACATTTGGAAGAAAAAAAAACTTCGATATTAGAAATGTAAAGAAAAAGTATGGAGTTTTAAAATGTTCAGAGAAAATACTGTTAAAAAACAAATAAAGTTATGTTTCAACCCTTTTGTGCAGGAGTTTATTTTCAAATCCTACAACCCAAAAACGAGCACCAGCGCCGATGTGAGAAGAAGGGAACCCTATCAGCTGTGTTAAATTTTTGTAAAATATTAGAGTATCACAGTTATCTCCCTCATGCAGCAACACAAACTTCAGCATTTGGTAAATTGATGTTCTCCTTTTCAAACCAAGGCTATAGTCCTGTGACAGAATTAAGTTATTAAATTGATCAAATCATCCTGCAAACAGCCATGGTTTGTAAAATCGTGAATGGCTCCTTGGGGTATAGTGGATTGGTGGGCAGAATATTTCAAAGACCTCTTCAATCCCATCAGCATTTCTTCAGTGAAGTAGCAGAATCTGGAGACTTTGGATGGTCAAAAAGCTCCTCGGTGGCAAAGCCCCAGGGGTGGATGAGATCTGTCTGGACTCCCTTAAGGTTCTGGATGTTGTGGGGTTTTGTTAGTTGACTACAATATTACATGGACATCTGGGGCAGTTTTGCTGAATTGGCAGACCAGGGTAGTGGTCCCCCTATTTAAAAAGGGGGATCTCACTACTGAGCCTCCCTCGTAGTCTCTTCAAGGGTTCTGGAAAAGGAGTGTCCATCGAAGCTCTGATTCAGGAGGAGCCATGTGGTTTTTATTCTGGTTGTCAAACACTGGACCAGTTCTATACCCTTAGGGGGCATGGGAGTTTGCCCAACCAATCTACGTGTTTCGTTGATTTGAAGAAGTTGTTTGACCGTCCCTTGGTCGGATCTGTGGGGGACATTCTGGGAGTATGGGGTACCAGGCCCTCTAATACAGGCTTGCGTCGTAAAAGGGTAGAACGTCTTCTGGTCAAGGATTAGGTCCTGAAGCGCTCGATTTGTCAGGTCGATCTACGTTCCTACCCTCACCTATGATTACAAGCTTTGGGTAGCAACCGAAAGAATGAGATGGCGGACACAAGTGGTCAAAATGAGGGGTTTTTTTTCCCCACAGGGTGTCTGGGCTTTCCCTTAAAGATCGGGTGAGAAGCTCGGTCATCCGGGAGCGGCTTGGAATGAACCTGCTGCTCCACTTCAAAAAGAGCCAGATGAGGTGGCTCGGGCATCTTTAGGATGCCTCCCTGGTGAGGTTTTCCGGGTGCGTCCAACTGGTAGGAGACCCAAAGGAAAACCCAGGACACACTGGAGGGACGTTTCAAGGTGTTTCTCGTCTGGCCAGGGAATGCCTTGGGATTCGCCTGGAGGAGCTGGCCCAAGTAACTGGGAAGAGGGAAGTCTGGGCCTCTCCGCATAGGCTGCTGCCCAAGCAACCTGGCCCTGGATGAACAGGTGATGATGGATGGGAATATTAATATTGAGGGGAAGAGGCATATTTTGACGCCTTGGGTGTGAGAATGTGTTGGACAGACTGGTACAACGCCCGCATCACTGCAGATGCACACCAATCCGCCTGTCGATCTCACACTCCAGTTCTCCCTCACTCGTGAACAAGACCCCGAGATACTTAAACTCCTCCACTTGGGGCAGGACCTCATCCCTGGCCCGAAGAAGGCATTCTACCCTTTTCCGAATCAAGACCATTGTCTCAGATTTAGAGGAGCTGATTCTCATCCCAGCTGCTTCACACTTGGCTGCAAACCGCTCCAGCGAAAGCTGAAGATCACGTTCTGATAAAGCCAACAGGACCACATCATCTGCAGAAAGCAGAAACTTGATCCTCAGGCCACCAAAACGGATGCCCTCAACACCTTGGCTGCGCCTAGAAATCATGTCCATAAAGGTTATGAACGGAATGGGTGACAAAGGGCAGCCTTGGCGGAGTCCAACTCTCACTGGGAACGAGCCCGACTTACTGCCGGCAATGCGGACCAAGCTCTGACACCGGTCATACAGGGACCTAACAGCCTGTATCAGAGGGCCTGGTACACCATACTCCCGAAGGACCCCCACAGGGCCTCCCGAGGGACGCAGTCAAACGCCTTCTCCAAATCCACAAAACACATGTAGACTGGTTGGGCAAATTCCCACGCATCCTCCAGGACCCCCCTAAGGGTATAGAGCTGGTCCAGTGTTCCACGGCCAGAACGAAAACCACATTGCTCCTCCTGAATCTGAGGATCAACAATCCGACGGACCCTCCTCTCCAGAACCCCTGAATAGACCTTAGCAGGAAGGCTCAGGAGTGTGATCCTCCTGTAGTTGGAACACACCCTGCGGTCCCCATTTTTAAATAAGGGAACCACCACCCCAGTCTGCCAGTCCAGTGGAACTGCCCCCGATGTCCACACGATATCAGCCAACACAGCCCCACAACATCCAGAGCCTTAAGGAACTCGGAGCGGATCTCATCCACCCCTGGGGCCTTGCCACAGAGGAGCCTTTTAACCACCTCAGTGACCTCAGCACCAGAGATTTGAGAGCCCAACTCAAAGTCCCCAGACTCTGCTTCCTCGCTGGAAGACGTGTCGGTGGGATTGAGGAGGTCTTCGAAGTATTCTGCCCACTGATCCACAACGTCCTGAGTAGAGGTCAGCAGCACACCGTCCCCACTATAAATAGTGTTGGTAGTGCACTGTTTTCAACCCCTGAGGCGCCGGATGGTGTACCAGAATCTCCTCGAAGCTGTACGGAAGTCTTGCTCCATGGTCTCACCGAACTCCTCCCACACCCGGGTTTTTGCCTTGGTGCCTGGTGTCCACCAGCGGGTTCGGGGGTTGCCACTACGACAGGCACCGACGATCCTGCGACCACAGCTCTAGTTGGCCGCCTTAACAATGGAAGCACGGAACAGGGTCCATTCAGACTCAAGGTCCCCCGCCTCCCCCGGAACATTTTGGAAGTTAGGAGGTGGGAATTGAAGCTCCTTCTGACAGGCGTTCCCAGCAGACCCTTGCAATACGTTTTGGCCTGCCTAGTCTTACCGGCATCCTCCCCCACCATCTGAGCCAACTCACCACCAGGTAGTGGTCAGTAGACAGCTCGGCCCCTCTCTTCACCCGAGTCAGATGAAACAACAACAAAGTCGATCATCGAGCTGCGGCCTAAGGTATCCTGTGCCAAGAGCACATATGGACACCTTTATGTCTGAACATGGTGTTCATTATGGACAATCCACAGAAGTCTAATAACAAAACACCACTCGAATTCAGATCAGGGGGGCTGTTCCTCCCAACCACACCTCTCCAGGTCTCACTGTCGTTGCCCACATGAGCGTTAAAGTCCCCCAGCAGAACGAGGGAGTCACCGGAAGGAGCACTCTCCAGCACCCCCTCCAAGGTCTCCAAAAAGGGTGGGTAGTCTAAACTGTAGTTTGGTGCATAAGCACAGACCACAGTCAGAACCCGTCCCCCCACACGTAGGCGGAGGGAGGCTACCCTCTCAGTCACCGGGGTAAACCCCAACGTACAGGCACCAAGATGGGGGCAACTAGTATGCCCACCCCTGCTCGGCGCCTCTCAGTGGGAGCAACTCCAGAGTGGTAGAGTGCCCAGCCCCTCTCAAGGAAACTGGTTCCAGAGCCAGAGCCATACGTTGAGGTGAGTCAGACTATAGCTAGTCGGAATCTCTCAACCTCACACACCAACTCAGGCTCCTTCCCCACCAGAGGTGACATTCCTTGTGCCAAGAGCCAGCTTCTGTAGCCGAGGATCAGACCGCCAAGGTCCCAGCCCTCGTCTGCCACCCGTCACACACTGCACCTGACCCCTTTGGCCCCTCCCACGAGTGGTGAGCCCATGGGAAGGGGAACCCACGTTTCCTCATCGGGCTGTGCCCGGCCGGGCTCCATGGGTGAAAACCCGGCCAGCAGGCGCTCGCCAACGTGGCCCACCTCTAGGCTTGGCTCCAGAGGGGGGCCCCAGTGACCCACGTCCGGGCGAGGGAACACGGTTCCCATTTATTTTATTCATCATAAGAGGTCTTTGGGCTGCTCTTTGTCTGATCCCTCACCTAGGACCTGTTTGCCATGGGTGACCCTACCAGAGGCATAAAGCCTCATTTAGCTCCTAGGATCATTGGGACACTCAAACCCCTCCACCACGGTAAGGTGGCAGCCCAGGGAGGAAGAGGGAACTACATTTATAAAATTTCAGTAGTTAGTACAAACACTTGCTGTAATTTTTTCTAAATAAAATGCATTTTTGTTAGTAGGTGAACTTGCCGTTTACTATTATTAAACCTTAAATTTTATATTAGCATAGGCCACATGTAAACCATAGTCTTACTAATTTACAAGACAGCTGTTCTGCAATGACAATAAATGTTTAATTGGTTTTTACCAGTTTTATCACTTTCTTGCTAGTATTTTTTTTTTTTACATAGCAGAAAGAAGTTGGTGGCGGTAATGCACCATATCACCATTTGAAACCACCATTGAAAAGTCAAAGAAGAAGAATCAAAGTTATGACCGGAAGTTGTTTTTTTTTTCTAAGCCAGTCAGCTACACGCTGTTCAAGAAACCTGCAGCTCAGAAAAATTAGCCGTTTCCTCCTGGAGTCTTCAGGTAAACAAGTCTGTGTTAACCGTAGAGTCAGGGGAATGAGGTAACGTTTCGCGTCGCCATAGCTTTAGTAGTTTTCTGTTTTTTCTTTTATGGTACAAAGTAACACCGGTTGGGTGAAAGTAGTTCAAGACAATTTTAGCTGCGTGCGTAACTGCTAACGAGGGCTAGCCTGTGCCAGCTAATGTAATCTGGAAGCTAATGGAAACTGAAAATGGTCCGAAGTGAAAGTACACATTTGTTTTCCGTCTTGTACATAAACGCCATGTCTATATATCCAGAAACGTGCTAATATTTTCGATTTTATGCGTGATTTTAAAGAACTTTATCGTCTGAACAGTTGGTGTATTTTATTGTCAAAGCCTTATTTAGACTCAGCGTTAGTTTCGTCTTTTATTCAAAGAGCTAAACATGAAAAATCAAGACACGGAAGAGTCTACCAGCCCGGGCAGCGAGGCTCCTCCACCTGCAGCTGGAGACACGGACGCTCCACTTCCACCTGCACCTGCTGAAGGCAGCAGCCCCAGAGAGATGGAGCCACAGGCTGGCCCCCCACCACAGGAACAGCAGGGGGAAAGCGGAGGTGAACTGCCTTTGGTTTGACTTTCTTACTCGTCACACTGTGTGAATTCTCAGTTTTAGAACAAATTAGATGAAACAGCACAAACCTAATTAATGGTTTGGTTGTCATCAGACTGAAGTGGAGAATCTTGTCAGTAATACCTGATGTCATCTGGTTTCAAGATTAACATACTAGAAGTCAAACTTTTATTGATGCAATCAAAGCTTTACTTGTACAATAAAATGGTCTTCATTCTTCACGTGTACTCAATCCATACATATCTAGATTATGTCATTTTTATTGTTATATGTCCTGATGCTGCCGACAAGTTATTTTATGCACTGATGTCATTAAACACAATCACACAGTTTAATAAACAAGAGTTTTTAAGGTTAAGAGATCCATAATAAATTAGTTTTGGGGTATTTTCTCATTACTGTAACGTTGTGTCAAGAACAGACTTACTTCAACATTTAAATAAAAGTAGGCCATCACGTCCTTGATGATATTGTGATAATTGTTTTAATGCCTCAAGTGTGATTCCTTTTAGAAGGCACATCATAAACAAATGAATCCCAACAGTTTTCCGCGTGACTGTGTGGGTCACATACCATCCCATACCATATTTATTTATTTATAAAGCACCATTTCAAAATAGCATGGCAGCTAACCAAAGTGCTGTACATAAAAAAAGCCAAATGCTTGACCAAGAACCACAATAAGAACAGGCAAAAAACATAAGAACAAAGCATAAATAGTCGGAGATAAAAATTCCTACTAAAAACCATAAAATAGAACAGTTAACAGCACTATAAAAATAAAATAATGCGACGAATAATAAAAACATTTGAAATGTCCCAAATAAACCGAAATAAAATACCAGATGGTGCGAGGTGCCAAAAGTGAGCAACTAAATCATAAAAATGGAATTAAAAACTCAAATCCGGTGCTAGATTGTCATGAAAAGTGTCACGGAGGCAAGGCAATGCTAAAGAAGTGCGTTTTCAGGGCCGACTTGAAACTGCTAACAGAGGGAGCCAGACGCACACGGAGGGGCAGGGAGTTCCAGAGTTTTGGGCTGAATAAGAGAAGGCACGCTCCCCCCGTGATTTGTACCAAACCTTCGGAACAACAAGCAGCGGATGATCTGCTGACCGAAGGGCACATGTGGGAACATATGGGGTCAGCAGGTCCATCAGATAGGATGGGGATGGGCAGTACAAAGCCTTGTAAACATATAACAGGACCTTGAAGTTAATCCTAAATTAGACTGGGAGCCAGTGTAAATCTGCGAGGATGGGTGTGATGTGCATGCGTCTGTCGGTGTTGGTTAAAAATCTGGCCGCGGCATTTTGAACCTTCTGCAGTTTGCTTAAGGCTGAAGCATTAATCCCAATCAGGACAGAATTTGCGTAATCCAGACGTGAAGTAATGAAAGCATGAATGACTGACTCAAGATCCGGGCGTTTGACGATTGACTTAAGACGAGTGATGCGGCGGAGTTGGAAAAAGCAGGACTTGACAGTAGCGTTGACTTGTGAAGACATTGAAAGGTCAGAGTCCAGTGTCACACCTAGGCTAGTGGCACCTGATTTGAGATTGAGTGGGAGAGTTGAGACATCTAAAGCACCATTCATGTTAGTGGGGCTAAAAAGTATGGCATCTGATTTGCTGTCATTAAACCGTAGGCAGTTTTGAGAAAGCCAGGATCTGACCTGGGAGAGGCATTCTGACATTATAGAAAATGAGTGCTGTTGGTTGATTTGAAGGTAGATCTGGCAATCATCTGCATAAAAGTGGTAGTTAACCCCGACGAGACTTGCTAAAATCTTACCAAGTGGTAGTATGTAAATTGAAAAGAGGAGAGGACCCAGGATGGAGCCCTGTGGTACTCCCCATGGAAGTGGGACATTGGGAGAAGAGCAGTCTCTAACATGAACACTAAAACACCGACCATTAAGGTACGACTTAAACCATTCCAGGGCAGTACCGGTCACACCCACCCAAAATTCGAGTCTGTGAAGTAGGATGGTGAGGTCAGGTCGAGTAAGAGTAACCGCACATGGGAGCCAGAGTCAGTCAGAATCAGGATGTCATTGAGTACCTGAATGTGTGCAGACTCTGTGCTGTAATTACGTCTAAAACCTGACTGGAATGGGTCAAGAAGCCCATTGTCATCTAGGTGAGAAGTAAGCTGCGTGAGAGCCAGTTTCTCAACTACTTTTGAGATGAATGGAAGTTTTGAGATTGGGCGATAACTGGCACAGTCAGACTGGTCAAGGCCTGGTTTCTTCAGTAGCGGCTGAACAACGGCATTTTTAAAAGCAGCTGGAAACACACCAGAGGAGAAGCTGGAATTGACACAACAGCAGGGGCCACCGCTGGAAGGACATCGCGCAGCAGTCTTGGAGGAAGGCTGTCCTCTGGAGAGCCTGAGGGCTTCATAGCCAAGATTAGGTCAACCAGGGAAGAGGGTGTCACATGAGCAAAGCAAGTGAATGAGGGTGGACAGTGAGGATCCACACAGGTAACCCAGCCTGAGTAAGAGAAACCGGTTCTAATTTCCTGGATTTTATGCAGGAAAAAGTTTTGAAACTCATTGCAAAGAGCCCCTGTAGAGGGACAAGAGTTGGGAGATTCTCTAAGCGATGGTACAGAGGTGAGGACTCTGTACAGTTTCTTCTGGTCGTTTTTATGCCCAGTGATTATATTTGCAAAATATCTGTTTCTAGCTGTGCGGACAGCTTTCTGATAGCGGGTCAAAGGACCCTTGAATAACTGGTAGGAGATTTGCAGCTTGTCCTTCCGCCACCGGCGTTCGCAGACCCTACATTGGCGTCTTAGGGCATGAGTCTCCTCATTGAGCCAAGGGTCTGCCACAGTTTTTTATGCCTGGATCTTAGAGGAGCGACTGCATTTAAAACAGTTGAGCAGGTAGAGTTGAAAGAGGTCAGCAGCTCCTACACAGGTGGAATCAGGTTGGGAAGTGCATAGAGTCACAGCTAGGCTAGATGCTAGTAGATTGGTGGTGAAAAGGGGAAATTATTCTTGTGAGGTGTTGATTATGTTGCCTAGTGGATGGAGGTGTCAAGCCACAGATATTGAAAATAATAATAGAATGATCAGAGATACATGCAGAGTCAAAAGTCAGATCCGAGATACAGATCCCAAAAGACAAAACCAAGTCTAAAACGTGCGATCCTGAATGGGTGGGTGACTGGACCTGTTGCTGGAGACCAAAACAATCTAAAATGTCTAAAAAGCCACCAACAAGAGGTTTGTCAGGGCAGCAAACATGTATATTAAAATCACCAAGAATAATCCCACGGTCATATTTTGGAAGAAAGTCTGTTAAAAGATCAGAAAATTCCGATAGAAAGTTGGAATTGTAGTTCGGTGGGCGACAGCAGAGAATAAACAGCAGCGGAGGACTAAAGTCCACCTCATAAGCCATAATAGTAAGTTTTTTAGTCACAAACTAAATCCCCTTTCATGCAACGTGTTCCAGGAAGTTTCTGAAATCCTATTTGAATGTTTTTCTGGTAGAAACTCTGCCTGGGTCAGCTTTACCGCCCCCGGCTGCAGCAGCGCCCCTGTCCCAGCGCGACATGGCTGAGGAGCTGAGCCGGCAGCTGGAGGACATCCTCAGCACGTACTGCAGTGAAACCATTTCAGACGAAGCCAGTGCCTTGCTCAACGGTCAGTCTCACAGCCCAGTTTTCAACGGGCTGATGTGTGAGAAGGATGGAGACAACCCAAAGGCAGAAAAAGTCAACGGGGGTCACAGCGGTGCTGAGAAAGAGCAGAAGAAGAGTCAAGACAAGAAGAAAGTGAAGGGCCTGGGTGAGGAACTGAACTGTGTTAAATGTTCTGTAGGCCCGTTATTTTCCTTCACCTAACAGCTTCTGTTGTCTTGATCCAATCAGGCAAAGAGATCACCGTTCTCATGCAGACGTTAAACACGCTAAGCACGCCGGAGGAAAAGCTGGCAGGTCTCTGCAAGAAGTACGCCGACCTGGTGAGTACGCTTCTGTCCTGTGTGCGTCTCCGTGCTGCATTTCTGCTGTCAAGTGCAACTGACAGCAGGTTCACCACAACTTGTACCATCTTGTACGTGATCCTCGCTGTTCTAAAGGAAGAAGCCATGTTTGACCGCATGTGTAATGTTCTCAGCTGGAAGAGCATCGTAACTCTCAGAAACAGATGAGGGTGCTGCAGAAGAAGCAGAGTCAGCTGGTGCAGGAGAAGGACAACCTGAGGAACGAACACAGCAAAGCCATCTTGGCCCGCAGCAAACTGGAGAGTCTCTGCAGGGAACTGCAGAGACACAACCGCACCCTCAAGGTAGCGAGTGCTCCACCTCTGTCCAGGTGCAGCTGCTGCGTGTCATGTTTACGTTTTCATGTCTGCAGCAGCTTTTTAAGCATTCTTCCCTTTTTTAATTTGGTTCTCACCTCTGCAGGAAGAAGGAGTCCAGAGAACGCGGCTGGAGGAGGAGAAACGGAAGGAGGTGACGTCTCATTTCCAGTCGACGCTGAACGACATCCAGGCTCAGATGGAACAGCACAACGAGAGGAATGCCAGCCTCCGCCAAGAAAACGCTGAGCTGGCAGAGAAACTCAAGAAGCTCTACGAGCAATACAAACTACGGGAGGAGGTCAGCAGGCCGCCTAGCTCCTTTCTGTTTGGCTCCTCGTGTGGATGTGTGTTGACCTCCATCTCATGTCACCCTGGCAGCACATAGACAAGATGGTGAAGCACAAAGACCTGCAGCAACAGCTGGTGGATGCCAAACTGCATCAGGCGCAGGAGCTGCTGAAGGAGTCGGAGGAGCGCCACGACAGAGAGAAAGACTTTGTGAGTTTCTGTTTGTATGGTTCTGCGTCTGATGTCTCTGGTAGTTTCACATAAGACTAACATCCAGTTTGTTGTAACTCTTTAGCTTCTGAAGGAAGCTGTGGAGTCTCAGAGGATGTGTGAGCTAATGAAGCAGCAGGAGGTCCACCTCAAACAGCAGGTCTCTCTTAAGCTCACTCTTCAGAGTCTCTGCAAAGCGGCTGTCGTCTCACTTCTGCTGTTTTACCTCCCAGCTGTCTCTGTACACCGAGAGGTTTGAGGAGTTCCAGACCACGCTGTCTAAGAGTAACGAGGTCTTCACCACCTTCAAACAGGAGATGGAGAAGGTGGGTGGTTGTGAGGAGAACGTGGATAATTCTGTTGGGTCTACCTGCTCAAACAGGAGCCGTGCTTGCTTTGGGTTCACAGATGACTAAAAAGATTAAGAAGCTGGAGAAGGAGACGACGATGTATCGCTCGAGGTGGGAGAGCAGCAACAAGGCGCTGCTGGAGATGGCTGAGGAGGTAAAGCAGCTTCTGGAGTTTGGATTTGGTTCTCACAGATCTAGAGTGTTCAGAGTAAGGTCGGGCCACTTTGCCGACAGGGTTGGGCGTGTGACGTCATGACACACGGACTGATTTGCGAACACAGAAGAAGCCCGAAACAGATTTTTTTTATGGACACGCGCAGCACGTGTGTTTGCTGGAAGATAATTTTATATTTTTCTTTTTGTTTAACTTTGTATTTGTAGTTTGGTGGAGACGTATAAACGGCCCGTAATAAACACGGTTAAATGTTCAACAGAAGCCTTGCCTTTGCTTCCCTGCGGTGCCCACTGTTGTGGTTTTCATTTAAGCTAAATGTTTCCGTCGGAACAAGAACTTGTGGGGTTCGTTCTTTTGTAAGTAGGGATAAGATCACACCTCAGACAGCTGCGCTTCTCTTCATGCCAATGATGTGCGTTAAACAAGGATCTGACCACGGCTGTAGACTCCGTAAAGGCTTTTGCCATCTTCACCCTTTCCTTAACCATTTGGTTGACATGGCAACAATAGGTCAGGGGTCACTGCATGATCACCCACTGCTGTTCCCAGCTGTTTAGTTTAGATTCAGTTCCACTTTGTTGGAAAACTTTGAGACTTTAGTAGCTGGTTATTTAAAAAGCCACAGCTGTTGACCACGCATCACGACGTTCTGACGCTAGCGCCTTCCGAACTGTTGTTTCACGTGTGATTGAGTCCCAAGCTTCTGTTTCTATTCCCAGAAATCTGTGCGAGATCGGGACTTCGACGCGTTGCAGGGTAAAGTCCAGCGGCTCGAGAAGCTGAGGCGGGCACTTAAGGTGGAGCGAAACGAGCTAAAGAAGAAGGTCCAGAACCTCGGTGGGGCCGCAGGACCCCACACCTCTGACCCAGGGACTGACTCCCCCTCCCCGCCTCCCACGGACTGTCCGCTGGAGGCCAGCACCTGTCCTGTACCAGACAGCTCCTCTGACTCCCCACCTTGCCACTGTGAGCCACAGCTGGACACAGATGCACTCCCAGAAGAGGCAAACTCCCCACCTGTCCCTGTTCTTGTCCCTGCACAGGAATAAAGCAGGACTGCTTCGTCTCCTCCTCCCTTTCAACGTCCAACCACCAGCCTACAGGCCGCTGGAGCAGCTGATGTTCAACACTGAGCTGGAATCAGATTTACACCAGATGAGTCCAACAGAAGGGTTAACGTGTGTCCTCCCAGCGTCATCTGCAGACGGGCTTCCTTCACCCCATCCTCTCCAGCTGAAACTAAGCTAGTTCAGATCATTTTATTACAATAACTAGAGTTGTTGCTGAAGGCTTTACTGAGCTGTGTGGGAGGACACAACCTAAGCAGGTTTACCACAGGTGTGTGTGTGTGTGTGTCTTAAGTGTTGTTTTCTTCCATCTCTACCATTCCTTCCTTTAAGTAAGAGCTGTGTGGGACTGTTGAGGGAAGCTTTTCAGTCTAGCCTTTTATCCTTTTTTTATTATGATTTTTTTTGGCAGAGTAAATCCTGGATTATTAAAGAACGTTTTGGGATGTTCTCAGTCCAGAACTAAAACGTTTGAACTCTTATTCATTTGTGTAGTGTTTAAATGTGAGTCTGTATTTATTGTTGAAATCATACAGTCACTGATATCGGGGGTTAAAATAAAGGATATTTTCATTTAAGCTGATCATTTTCATTCATTTTACTCCAAATTTGTCATCCTTACCTCTCCTGGGTTATGTTGCACATTACCAGTTTAGTTATTAGTATTAGCACTTTTATCTCATTTAACTCCATCTTTGTTCCGTGTGTGTGGGATGTACCTGTTTATATCTGTGATGGTCCTGGGAATGGCGAAGGCTTCTGGTCAGGTTTATTCTAAAGAATGTCAAAGTTCCTCTATGCAACGCTTGCATCTTGGTTTTATTCTGTGGCCTCGACCCACGAGCACTTAGCTGAGAATGTAATCTCATCATATCCACTGTTCTGCATAAATGTGTCGGGGACGACATATCTCACAGTTTAAGGCCTTTTTCTTCAAAGGGGTTGATACTTTTACATTGGGTGCTTTTGAAATGTGCATTGATCTGAGCCAAGTGAGAAAACTGAGAGGAGAAGTCTAATTTGATTTGGTTTCCTCCAAACACACGCCTGTTTCCCCTGTGCACTACATATGTAGTTTCGACAAAGCGATGCCATCCGAAACAGAAATGCAAATGTTTTTCAGTCTACCATAGGATGTATTCACTGTACTGTTTACTTTTCATATAAACCAAAGATGTCTCCCTGTTGTAGTTTATCTTTTGCAGTATGTTATTTTCTGGCCCTGATTTTAAATAAAATTAGAGTATGTCTGATTTTCTGGCAGATTATTTTTTACAGTGAATTATTTGTGTCATAATGATAATTTTGAGAATATGGAGATAATTTATTGTGATTTTTGAGATTTTGTGTCACCATATTTCCAGAATGAAGGGCACAGGACTAATTTTTCTTTTTAAATACTGTATTTGACGACCTTCAAAAAGAATCCAATAAAATCACTGTCAGAAAAGTAAATTTAAGTGACAGAAACTAAACGTAATAAAAGAAACTGGTGAGGAAGGAGTGGTTTCGTGACTGACAGAAATGCAAAATGATTTACAACTTATACAGGAGGGTGGCATGTTATCATACATTATGTTGATAAATATCATGTATGTAGCAGTATTCGGGATTAAATATTCACAAATGAGCTGATAAGGAGCAGGACTGAAACGAGCACAAGTTTGGGATCAAATTACTTTATTTTCTAGATTCCAGAAAGTCCTTCATACCACATTTGTCCAGGAGGGGGCGGCAGGTCGTCCATCTGCGGTTAATACCATCGAAGAAGAAAATGGAAGCCTTCTCTTCCGCCACAGCTCCGGTGTCTGACACATGAGGGTTTAACTTTTCTCCCATTGTGAGGCGCAGCAAATTGACTAAAGCATCTGGAAACACCTAGCTGACGACAATGGTTGGTATATTTATTTACAAGGCACTGTTTACCTGGTGGTTTTCAGTTTTTGTTCTTTAGCTTGTCGCTGTAGTTTGGGGTTTTACTTTGTCTTTTGTGGCTAGCTATAGCTTTTCACGTTAGCTAATGTACATATTCATTTTGGCAGAAGTCTTGAGTTAGCTAAGCTATGAAAGAGATTTCTGTGACTCGTATAGTGTTGGTGCTTTACGCCTAGGCAAGTCAAAGCTACGTTATTCTTTCTTTTTTCAATTAAAACAGTCATGTGTAAATGCTAGCTTAAGCTGAACCGTTATCGGTGTTTCTAGAAACCCATTTTGCTCCAGGGCCACGAGAGGTCCATCACACAAATCAAATACAACAGAGAAGGAGATCTGCTCTTCTCGGTGGCTAAAGATACAGTGAGTTGGTACACACTCGCTCTTCTGTCGGATCATTCAACACGACGTTTGGGAGCAGCCAAACTCATCCCTGCTGTTCTGCTGCTATCCAGGTTGCCAACGCGTGGTACTCTGTGAACGGAGAGAGGCTCGGGACCTACAATGGACACACCGGAGCTGTGTGGTGTGTTGACTGTGACTGTATCCTTTGCACCTCTGCCTAATGTAAGCTAGGGGTGTCTGTCAGTGAAGTTAGGCATCTTAACTAGTTGTCTCAGGGGACACAAAGAACGTGTTAACAGGATCAGCAGACAACAGCTGCAGGCTGTGGGACTGTGAGACTGGTAAGTAAACCTTAACAATGTGCTTTTCCAAAGAGGTGGACATGATTTTTAGGGTATTGGGATAGTTTGTAAACCTGACATCATGCTGTCTAAATGACATCTTTAATGTGTTTTCACAGGTAAACAGCTGGCTCTGCTCAACACCAACTCTGCCGTCAGGACGTGTGGGTTCGACTTCAGCGGCAACATCATCATGTTCTCCACAGACAAGCAGATGGGTTACCAGTGCTTCCTGAACTTCTTTGACCTGAGGGATCCACAGCAAATAGGTAAACATTAAATGCGCAAACACACACACGCACACATGTTCTGCAATGGTGTGGCCACAGTATATGGACTGGATATATACCATTTTAAACAAACTTTCTTACACTTTTTGCAATTTTTAATGTCAGTCAGACACCTAAATAAAGTTAATTTAGACCAATCCTGGTCCTGGAGGGCCGGTATCCTGCATGTTTTAGTTTGAACTCTGTTTCAATACTCCTGATTTCAATCAGCAGCTAATTAGCGGTCTTTTGCAGCGCCTGATGAGCTGCTGCACAGGTGTTTCAACCACTGAATCAAGTCTGTAGGAGCAGAAAAACCACAAAACCTGTTGGATACCGGTGTCGGCACAGGATCTGCTCGGGTGCAAAATTGGCTCAGGGTCCGTCGACTGCCGATGACGTCTAAGTAGTTGATTGGCTGCACATGAACCTTACGGAATTACGTAATCACGTTACGTTGTTATCACGTTACGTTGGTCCAGGCAAATCTTTCTGTTGGAAAGATGGACAACTTTTACAAAGAAATCCATCATTACCTCTTTGAAAATACACTTTTAGCATAGAGCTGCATGTATATTAGGGCTGAACGATTAACTGCATGTGCAATTAAATTGCGATGTGACAAAAGGAGATTTTCTAATCTCAAAGGCTGCAATTTGGCAGCGAGTGGTTAGCGCAATGCTAATATACATGGAAAAACCCATAGGAATGCTAATGCTAATATCGCCGATTACATGATCAAATTAGGAATTAGAAACGTGCCAAATGATTACATTTGGAGTCTAATAGAAAGTAAAAATACCATCAATCAAATAAGTACAGACAGGTATTTTAGTAAAGCCAGAAAACTTTTAACTCCAGAGTTTTGGCTAGCAGCTATGAGCGTAACTGAACTACGCATGGACAAGACGTCAAAAACTCTAAACACAAAATACTTCAATAAACGGGACACACTTCTTTCCTGCAAATACAATTTCACAGGTGTTGCTAATACCTATGATTCTTCAAGGGATGTGCTCAAAGAGGAGTTCAACATTATGAATACAATATAGTGTTTTATTTTACAAATACCATTATAAACACAAACTTACGTCTTAAGAAGCATTATTTTAATAACGAAACTGCTAAATTCTTTCCAACAGTATAGATGTGTAGTGTATTTTGTCCGAGTGGGTTTGCCGTACTTTGACGTCATCGGCAGTCGAAGGACCCCGAGCCGATCTTGCACCGACACCGGCCCTCCAGGACCAGGATTGGGCACCCCTGATTTAGAGTATTTATTATGCAGATGTTATTAGTGAATGTTGGGAAAAAAATTTGAATTAAATTCTGCAACAGCACCAGGGTGACTATAGATGTGCCTGACTTTAAATCAGCTTTACTAAGAAAAAAACAGCCGATGAATAAAAAACTAAACATTGGCCAACCAATATAATCGGTCCACCCCTAATTCACTCATTCCTTTATTCCATGTAGCAGCTCAGTGGTCACTGTTTTTCAAAATTGCATTGATTCATGTACCAGACTATTAGACGAAGAAATAAGTTAAGATCGTCTAGCCTAGTGAACTAGACCAAATTCTTGCCTTGTAATGTTTGGTGTGGGAACGCTCCACCGGAACTTCTGAGGCCTCCTAGCAGCATTCTGGCAGATGTGTTTTAGTCTTTTATTTAGAAAAAGGATGTATTTTTGCCGCCTTCAACGGCAGACATCCTTGTTTACAGAGGTTGCGGTGAGTACTCCACGTTGTTCGTTGTCCAGTAGGGTGCAATGATTGTTTGAAAGACAACGGTAGAATCCGCCCCACGACAGGCAATGGAACATTAAATAATATTATGGATTTAGTCTGGCGTGCCAGGCTAAAGAACATCCAAAATATCTCAATTTAGAGACTATTTTAAGCTAAAGAAGGTCATAAAAGTGCCACCTATGCTTCTGTTGAAACACACGTAGATTTCCTCAATAACACGTGTGCAGCAACTTTTCCCACACTGAAACATTTCAAAATGAATTGACATGTTTTGTGCACGTGTCCTGAATCAAGTTGAAGATGGTGTGATGTAGGGTTGTCACGGTGTGAAAATGTAGCCTCGCGGTTATCGTAACCAAAATGAAAACGGTATTATCGCGGTATTTTTTTTAAACGTGTTACATTTTCAGACAACTAAATAAACCCTGTATGTCAGGAAAATATTGTCCTCAGTTTGTGTCTAAATTTAGCCTAAAATGTGTTATTTTGTAATTATGTTGTTTATTTGTTTACATTTTTCCCCTTTAGTCTTTAAAATACCAATATTTGCCCATAACTTCAAAATTTTTTGTCTGTTTGATGTCATCATTTTAAAAATATTAGACCAGATGATACTCAGTACTCAAGTAGCCTTCTAATCAGATACCGTATTTTCACGACCATAGGGCGCACCGGGTTATAGGGCGCGGGCGTGGGCACGTTCAAACGTACCGGTGTCGGTACAGGATCTGCTCGGGTGCAAGATCGGCTCGGGGTCCTTCGACTGCCGATGACGTCAAAGTACGGCAAACCGACTCGGACAAAATACACTACACATCTATACTGTTGGAAAGAATTTAGCAGTTTCGTTATTAAAATAATGTTTCTTAAGACGTAAGTTTGTGTTTATAATGGTATTTGTAAAATAAAACACTATATTGTATTCATAATGTTGAACTCCTCTTTGAGCACATCCCTTGAAGGATCATAGGTATTAGCAACACCTGTGAAATTGTATTTGCAGGAAAGAAGTGTGTCCCGTTTATTGAAGTATTTTGTGTTTAGTTTTTGACGTCTTGTCCATGCGTAGTTCAGTTACGCTCATAGCTGCTAGCCAAAACTCTGGAGTTAAAAGTTTTCTGGCTTTACTAAAATACCTGTCTGTACTTATTTGATTGATGGTATTTTTTACTTTCTACTAGACTCCAAATGTAATCATTTGGCACGTTTCTAATTCATAATTTGTAATAATGTAATCGGCGATATTAGCATTAGCATTCCTATGGGTTTTTCCATGTATATTAGCATTGCGCTAACCACTCGCTGCCAAATTGCAGCCTTTGAGATTAGAAAATCTCCTTTTGTCACATCGCAATTTAATTGCACATGCAGTTAATCGTTCAGCCCTAATATACATGCAGCTCTATGCTAAACGTGTATTTTCAAAGAGGTAATGATGGATTTCTTTGTAAAAGTTGTCCATCTTTCCAATAGAAAGATTTGCCTGGACCAACGTAACGTGATAACAACGTAACGTGATTACGTAATTCCGTAAGGTTCATGTGCAGCCAGTCAACTACTTAGACGTCATCGGCAGTCGACGGACCCCGAGCCAATTTTGCACCCGAGCAGATCCTGTACCGACACTGGTAAAACATCCGTGCGGGCTCGGAGCATATCAGTGCAAACCAGACATTGTGAAAATTATAAACAGCCAAATAATGCTTCACTTTACTGGTCTAGTCCTGGTTTAGAGCGCACGTGCACTTCCTCATTGCGTGTGCTGACGGCTCGTGCTCTTCTAATGGGCTCGACACACGGGAGGCAACTTCGCCTCTCCATTCATTTTCAATGAGACACGCGCGACAAAGCGATAATCGCGTGTCTCCCTCCTGTTACAGCCGGGCGTACACCGGGAGTGCTGCAGGAGGACACACAGGGATTTATGGGGGTTGGATGAGGAAAACGAAATAAAGAAAGTAAATCTGTGTTTTGTGATCAGTTTAATTTGACATGAACACAACAAACACGCTTTCTTGACAATCTTTGTGAGTAAAAAATTGTGTGGAAATAAAAACAAACAGCGTGTGTTATTAGAGAAATAGCGGGCGAGCGGTGTTGATGCATGACTGCGCATGCGCCGTGAGCGGTTCTGGTACTTTTTGGGTCGCAGCTGCTCGCAGCGCCGCTTCAAGCTCAGAATGTGTTTACCGGTAGTTGTTGGATTTAACCACATAAACTTTCCACATGAACAAAATCATATGTGTGCTATTAACAGGCCTAAAAAAATAGTGTGATTTAAATTGTGTTTTATTAACGCTCTGGGGTCCGCGGACGCGTATCCGCGTCTTTAGATCAGGTCTGATTTGGGACGCTGTAGCAGCAAGACTCCGCCTCCCTGAGTTTTGGTTTCAATTCAGCTTTAAAAAGGAGATTATAAACTACACCCCGGTTTTTAAATGTTGTTAATAGGCAACGTAAAAGTGGAGTTGTGGGCTCGACACACGGGAGGCGACAAACGACCGTGATCAGCGAAATTTGTCGCTGTCGCTTTTATTACCTGACACACGGGAGGCGAACCGCGGCAGCGCGCATGTCTCATTGAAAATGAATGGAGGAGAGGCGATGTCGCCTCCCGTGTGTCGAGCCCATTATACTAAACTAAAAAATGACCTATTTTTAGACAATCTGATAACTTATCAAACAGCAGTTTAGTAATCCGTGAGAGGGAATGTGCTTGTGAACATAAAAAACCCACAAAAACATGAGATCCTTTTGCTGTTGGTGGAAGTCTCACATGTTCAGTTGATAAAAAGCATCATTATGTAGCTGAGAGAGGAAGGCCGCACGAGTAACGAGATGTGCGCAAAAAGGAGCCGCTTGGCGGGGAAAGGAGTGGCGCGAACGGAGTAACAACAAACAATTAAGACAGATATTGACGGTAAACTTCATATTTTGGAGCGATCTAGACAGATATATTGTCTCTGCAGTTTAGTAGGCTTTTATTAGGCTTATATAAAGGATGATGAGAAGGATAAATGTCCACCAGGCAGTTCAGATAGTACGGCTGTTTTTAGAACCGGAAGCAGAGGAAGTGGGCGGAGACTCACAGCGGAGTCTGAGGCAAACAGCGAAGATGTTGATGACGATGTGGCAGATCCACAGGTCTGTCTTCGCTCACGTCCGCACGTTCACACCACGCCCCTTCTACTACGTTCGCGTCTCACAACAACACAATAGGTGCACCGTAGGGCGCAGCGTACATTTTGGA